TCCATCCATCATCCATCCCTCCATCCATCATCCATCCATCATCCATCCATCCATCCATCCATCCATCCATCCATCCATCCATCCATCATCCATCCATCCATCATCCATCCATCCATCCATCCATCCATCCATCCATCCATCATCCGTCCATTCATCCATCCATCCACCAGGGCTTTGGGGGTTGCTCTGCTCTGGTTCTTTGGGGGGTTGGAGTTGTCCCAGCTGGAGAAGGGGACTCAACTCTATAAAGATGTGGAGCTGCTGGAGCAAATCCAGAGGAGGATTTGCTGGAGCTCCTCAGCTCCAGAGCCAGGCTGGGAGAGCTGGGAATGTTCTCCTGGAGAAGGGAAGGATCCAGGGAGAGCTTCTAGCACATTCCAGGGCCTAAAGGGGCTCCAGAAGAGCTGGAGAGGGACTGGGAACAAGGCCTAGAGGGATAGGACACAGGGAATGGCTTCCACTGCCAGAGGGCAGGGATGGATGGGATCTGGGAAGGAATTCCTGGCTGAGCTGGAATTCCCAAGAAGCCCCTGGATCCCTGGGAGTGTCCAAGGTTGGACAGGGTTTGGAGCATCCTGGGACACTGTGAGGTGTCCCTGCCCATGGATGGAGTGGAACTGGGTGATCTTTAAAAGTTTCTTCCCACCCAAAACATTTCATGATTCTCTCCATGATGGAAGATTCTATCCCATCTATCAGATGGGTGGCAGCACCTTGGGGCCCACACCCCGGGGCCGTGAGGCTGCAGGGAGGGTATAAGGATGAGGAGGAAAGAAATGACATTGTTTTTGGAGGAGGAACCCAGCCCAGCCATGTTTTGGGATGGCACAGCTCAGCCAAACCCATCAGGCCGAGTTTTCCTGGAGGCAGGGATTGCTCCCACCCACCCCACAGCCCACCAGGGATCACCCACTGATGAAGAACCCACTCCCCACACGGCTTTTCCTCAGGATATGCCCAGAATTGGGAACCGTGGGGCTGAGGAAGGGATAAATTCATCTTCTCCCATTCCCTGGAACTCTGCAGGTCACTCAGACAGCTCCCCATCGATGGCACATGAGCGGAATCCCATTGCTCTGCATCCATGAATCCCATTACAACCCCTCTCCAACACAATTCCCCTCCTCCTGCTCCCTCTCCATCCCTGCTCATCCCTTCTCCCCTCACAGTGAAAGGGCAGGGTGGGACCAGCACGGCCTGGCCAAGCCAAACTTGCTCCTGGCACTGGCCCTCAGGCACTCAAACGCTTTATATGTGAAATAGAGAACAGAGGAAGGAAAGCAATCCCCCTTCCTCAGCCCTTCCCCAATCATGGATGAGTCCAGCAAAGTGGGAACAGCTTTTCCCAAGGCTGGCCCAGCTGCAGGAAAGGATCAGGTGAGGATGGAGCTGGCAAAGCTTTGGGCTGGGAGGAGAACGCCGCAGTGCCGAGTCCTGCTGAGCCAGGAAACACCAACCAAGGTGACAACCAAACAATGAGGCCCCTGAGGGTTACTGGGATGTGAAAGAGGTGGGAAAAACCGGCAAGGAGCACTCGACAGAGCTGGGCAGGGCAGTGGAATGGCAAATCCTGCAGGCTGGGAGGAGGAACTCCATCGTTCTACTCTGGCATTATCCCTGTGCCCACCTCCACCTTTGGCTTGGCCAAGGGGGATTTGGACAAGAGAGATAATTTAGACATTTTAGAAAGTACCCATGCCTCTGCTGAGGGGAAAAAACCAGGTTTTTGAGGTGAACAAATCCTTCCAGCAGCATGGATGGCCAGCCCTGCCACGACAGCAGGTTCCCGAGCGAGGCTTTCCCAAAAAAGCAGCGCAATCCCTTTGGGTTGAGGAGCAGGGAGCAGAGCTGAGGGCATCGTTTGGTAACAGAGGCGGCTCCGTGTCCTCGGATAACTCCCTGCGCAGACAGGAAAGCTTAGGAGTTAATCGTGCTGACCAGGTGGGTGACCCCAGCGCTCCTCCAACATCCCTCCCTTCGGGGTCCCAAAGCACTCCCGTGGGCTGGGGAGTTTCCTGCTCCCCCAGCCCGAGGGGTCATGGCCACGTTCCCCAAGGCCAGCCAAGGAAGTGTTTCCTTGGTTGGTTGTTCAGCGGCGGCTGCCGCGAATGGCGCGGAGGCAGGAGGAGGTTCCCGGCTCCCGGGGAGCCCTCTGGCCAGTGGGAATTTCAGGCAACAGAAGAAATGAGAAAAGAGAGCTCAGGCTCAGCCCTGCTGAAGCAAATCTCCGAGCAGACCCCTTGGGAGAACACAGCACATCCCAGTTTAAGCAAGAGCTGCAGCTCTGGCCTGGGATGCACCTCAAATCCCCGCTCCAGACCAACAATCCAACTAAGCCCTTTGGGTTACTCGGGTTGTTAACCCAGAGGAGATCAAACGGCACATGGACAACCCAAGGAGCAGAGCCACCACCACCACCACCCCTGAGGGCCACGAACCACGCGACGTTTAAGCCACGATCCCTCCGCGTGTCCAAATGTGCCAAAACCGGGCACTGGCAAGCCCTGAGCACCCAACGGGTACGTTTGGGAAGGGTGAGTTAATTCAGACACGGCTTGGCCCAGCCCGGCCACCTCTCGGAGCGCGGGGAGGTCTCCGTGAGAGATGGCGCCGCACACATCCCGTTCTGCGTGGGATTAACGTAAATCGCCTCAGCAGATGACGTGGCGGCCCTTCCTGCCAGGGGTGGTAACAAACCAAAGGAGGAGAGGGCTGGAAAGTCTGCTGTGCATTAGAGCAGAGCTGATCGCCCTTGGGAGAGAGACGATTAAACCACTGAGATGCTGTAATCAGGTCTGGGATTGGCCCCGCGCTGCATCTGCTCAGACCTGCACCCTGATTAGCCCTAATCTAGCTGGCATATGTTAATCTAAAGCATGGATTTCAGACCCTTTCAATTGTATTAAAAACAGGAAATCCATTAGACAAAAAAACCCAAAAAACAAACAAAAAAACCCCTTAACCGCAAACCAAATTCTCAAGTCTTTGGAAAATACATTTCTGCAAAGAAAGTGGAGCAGGGCCGGAGAGCGCCGTGAGGAGAGGGGCAGGCAGGGAAATGGGATCCCACTGGAATCTGTGGCTGCTCAGACCAGCTCCTGCCTGGGAGGGACAACATGGATCACACACAGAGCAGCACAAACCACGGGCTCTCAGGAAGATGCAGCCGTGCTGTGCCTTTGCCACCCAAAAAGTCCCTCCTGTCCTCAGCAGGGGTGAGGAGTCAGCTCCAGGCAGCTGGGAACGAGGGAGGCAGCTGGGACAGCACCAGCTCCTGCCACATCCCAGAAAAAGTTTTTTTGGTGGAGGATCAGCTGGTTTTGGGAGGAAGGAGGGTCTGGCATGGCTGACCGTGGAGGGAAAGGGTAGGACATGGGGGTGGCCAAGGGAGGAGAAGAGCCATGGAAGGTCTTAGGGGTTGAATCAAAGGATGGGAATTGATCGAGGTGGCTGCGGTTGGACTCTAAAGTTGGGTCAGAAAATGTTCACAGCTGCATTTCTGCCGGGGGACTGCGATGGGTCAAAGGAGAGAATGAAACTCCTGCTGCTTCAGCAGAGAAGAGGTTTCAGCTCATGGGAGAACAGGGATAAGTCAGATCTACCTGAGGGCAGAGACACAGGATTGAGAGGCGAAAAGTCACGCGGTGTCTGATAAAGAAATCTCACCTGGCACAGAGCGTAGGAGCAGCTGTTTTGATCCTACACTGCAGGCGACTCCATTTAACCACCCCAAAGGGCTTTAGGGGAGAAGGTTGGGTGGGTGGGATGATCAGTGCTCAGGGAATTGGGGACAAGGATCAGAAATGCCCTGGACATCCGGGATTGTTTGGGTCATCGGTGCCGGTTTCTGCCTTGCTTTAACATCTCCTCACCCTTGAGATCAAAGAGAGTATCAAGGACAAGGCTTTAGCTTCAGCTTCATTCCCAGTCCTGCAGGATAAATGGAATATTGTCCAGCTCAGGGACATGAGACATCCTGTCGTCTTCCTGGTACCACAGGTTGAGTCCATCCTTATCTCCCATTCAGCCTAGAGAGGCTCAGGTCATGGAATCATGGAATGGTTTGGGTTGGAAGGGAACATCACCCAGGTCCAACCACCTGCTACGAGCAGGGAGACCTTCCCTTATCCCAGGATGCTCCAAGCCCTGTCCAACCCGGCCTTGGGCATTCCAGGGATCCAGAGGCAGCCACAGCTGCTCTGGGAATTCCATTCCAGCCAGGAATTCCTTCCCAAGATCCCATCCATCCCTGTCCTCTGGCAGTGGGAAGCCATTCCCTGTGTCCTGTCCCTCCAGGCCTTGTCCCCAGAACCTCTCCAGCTCTTCTGGATCCCCTTCAGGTCCTGCAAGGGGCTCTGAAGCCTTCTCTTCTCCAGCCTGGACACCCCCAGCAGCTCCACCTTCTGCTGCTGGGGTCCCTAGAGCTCCGCAGGTCCCTTGGGTGGACAGAGCAGAGGTGGACAGTCCCCTCCCCTGACCTGCTGCCCACGCTGTGGGGTCAGCCCTGGACACAGCTGGCTTTCTGGACATCTGCCCACGTGGTTCCACATCCAAATGCCAAGAGCCCGAATAAAGCTGGACATCTCATGCCAGGCAGGGGCTGGAAGATGG